CCATTATTGTTATTAATAGAATTGAATATGTTTGAATATGAGACACATAGTAAGCACTTGGTAATTGTTAGCATAAGAAAAAACTAGCCTGGCTCAGCCTGTAATCCCGTGCCTTTGGGAGGCTGAGGTGAGTGGATTGCCTGAGCCCGCGGGTTCGAGACCCGCCTGGGCAACTTGGTGAGAACTCATCTCTACAAGAAATCAAAAATTAGCCGGGCGTGGTAGTGCGTGCCTGTAGTTCCAGCTACTTGGAAGGCTGAGGCAGAGGGATTGCCAGAGACCAGCAGGTCGAGGCTGTGGTGGCCGGGAGCAGCCACTGCACTCCAGTCTGGGTGACAGAGTGAGACTCCAACTCAAAAAAAAAAAAGAAGGAAAAAACTACTAGACAAATTGCTCTAACTTATTATAAAAGTATATGTTTATGAAAATATCTGGTCAGTGTTATTAAAAATAATCCTCTTTTTCTTTGGAATTTGCATAAATCTAGTAGACTTGAATGTTTAGTTCTGCTGGAGGACATCTTAGTTTTTCCATTAAAAATATACTGAGAAGTAGCATAAAACAAGTTTGATGTACTTTATTTCTAGACAAAACTGTAAGGAATTATCACCTTAAAGCAATTTTTGAAGCTCTTTTGATGTTGAATTATTAAGAAGATCTGAACAGAGTTAGAAATGCAAGAAAAACATTGTTGAGAAGAAAATACACTTTAGAATCTCAGTTATTTCTGCTTTCTTGCCATACCTCTTCATGTTTTTATGAACGTTATACCAGATATTAGAACTTGTCATGAAATTTTGAAAGGACAGAATTCATGTTCTGCTTTAAATTCTTCTTGTCAAGATGTAAAGAATTCCCCAATCGGACATTTTTTGAAAGACTCATTATCTAAATCATTAATTAAAAATTAAGTCAATTCTAAAAAAGTTTTGTTTTGTGACATGAATACTAATATACTGAACTACCTTCCACAAAGCTTAGAGCCACAATATAACCTAATTTTTATTAATCTGCCTCATATCTTTATAAGTATTTCCTCAGAAAGGATGTGCTACTCCTAAACTTATCTAGCTAAATTTACATTCTCAGTGTTCATATTAACTGTAATTTTATTTTCCTGTTTAATTATTTGAAAATTAAGCTGGGCATGGTGGCTCACTTTAGGAGGCTGAGGTGAGGGGATTGCCTGAGCCCACGGATTTGAGAACAACCTGGGTAACATGGCAAGACCTCTTCTCTACAATAAATTTAAAAATTAGCTAGGTGTTGTGGCATGTGCCTGTACTTCCAGCTACTTGGAAGGTTGAAGCGGAAGGATCACCTGAATTCAGCAGGTCGAGGCTGCAGTAGTCGTGAGCATGCCACTGCACTCCAGCCTGGGTGACAGTGTGAGACACCAACTCAAAAAAAAAAGATAATTAAAGCTTGTAAATTTTGGCTTTTACAGTCATCACTAAAGATTGCAGCATTTTATCCTTACAAATATTACATTTATACTTCACTTATCCAATAAAATTTCACCATATTAAATAATCTACTCAAGGGATGTCTAGAATGCCTGCCAATATTTATTTTAAAATGAGTATTCAGATATTAATATTTATTCCAAATGACATACATTATTTAAGTTATGATGTAGAAATGGTAATAACTTGTATGATTGCTAAATCATTAGTTAAGCACAAGTGCAGGGGTACTAGAATTGAAGCGGTCTTTGCCTATTTGGCCTTCTAAAGTCTGAGGCCAAAGCTGAAGATGATTTTGGCTGAATACTGAAGCTAAGCCACATTTCAGTAAATCCCTATTTTATGTATGGGAAAACTGCGTGTAGGGAAATTATGTAATTTACATAAAATTGCACAGTTAGTAAGTAAGTGGTGGAAGTAGAATTTGGATCAGCTAGCCTAAACTTCTTGTCTGCCTTTGTAAATTGTGACTGACTCAAAAAATTATTGGTCTTGGCATTCTGCCCCTCTTCTTTCCTCCTGTCGTCCTTCAATAAAAGGTAGGTTAGAGAAGAGGTTTGTGAGAGAATGTCATTTCCTTTTCACTGACTGTTTAAAACAAGGACTTTAGATCATAGGTACTTTAAATCATAACTTTGATAGAAAGTAAAGTGTAGGGCTGGGCGCGGTGGCTCAGCCTGTAATCTCAGCACTTCGGGAGGCTGAGGCAAGAGGATTGCGTGATCCAGGGGTTCAAGACCAGCCTGGGAAACTTGGTGAGGCGCTGTCTCTACAATAAATAAAAAAATAAACCAGACATGGTAGCGTGTGCCTGTAGTTCCAGCTACTTGGAAGGCTGAGGCCAAAGAATCACTTGAGCCCAGCAGGCTGAGGCTGCAGTGGCTGTGAGCATGCCACCGCACTCCAGCCTGGGCGACAGAGTGAAACCCTACTCAAAAAAAAAAAAAAAAGCAAGTATAGGGCCTTTTTTTCTTTTTCTAGGACTGCAATGAATAAACTCTTGGAAATTTTGAAACTCAGGGAAATGAGACTTTGCTAAATTACCCAATGTTAATATAAATTTCCTTTAATTCAATCCTGTTTGAATATGTCTATGATAGAAATTGATAATTAGAGAATTGGTCTATCAAAAGTAAAATGGAATTTAAGATGTAAAACTTCAGTTTTAAAGGTTTAAGTTTAAGTACTAAGGGAGCAACAGGTTCCAAAATAATGGTACTCCCTGACTCTTAAAATCTTGCATTATTTTGTAGTGAAATTTAATTTTACTATAAAATTCTAATTTTTACATAATCAGTTTATTGTGAAATGTAATAAACTTAGTTGCACTTATTATTTTGTATTGCCAGTAATAAGAGCTCTGGGCCAGGTATGGTGGTTCATTTCTGCAATCCCAGCACTTTGAGAAGCCTAGGCAGAAAGGCTGAACTCAGGAATTTGAGACCAACAAAGCGAGACCTCCTGAAAAATAAAAAAAAATTAGCTGGGCTTAGTGGTGTGTGCCTGTAGTCCCAGGTACTTGGGAGGCTGAGGCAGAAGGATCACTTGAGTCCAGGAGGTCAAAGCTTCAGTGAGCTGTGATCATGCCACTGCATTCCAGCATGGGTGGCAGAGTGAAACTGTCTCAAAATTAAAAAAAAAAAAATATACACATGAAGAAATAAGTATAAAAAAGCTCTGAAAGCCGGGCTCGGTGGCTCAGCCTGTAATCCTATGCCTTTGGGAACCTGAGCCCGTGGGTTCGAGACCCGCCTGGGCAGCGAGACCTCATCTCTACAATAAATAAAAAAAAATCAGCCGGGCGTGGTAGCGCATGCCTATAATTCTGGCTACTCAGAAGGCTGAGGCGGAAGGATCGCTGGAGCCCAGCAGGCGACGCTGCGGTGGCCAGAAGTGGCCACTGCACTCCAGTCTGGGCAACCGAGTGAGACTCCAACTTAAAAAAAAAAAAAAAGGCTCTGAAAACGCCCCTAAATTTTTAGGCAAAAGGAAATGTTTGGTATTTGCAAAAGACTCGTCTACATAGATAAGGCTTATTTGTGGTAATTTTCAAAGAAAACTAGAAACCTCTAGAAAATTTTTAATTGAAAGTTTTATTGAAGTCATTGTAGCTTCACCTGAAGTTGTAACAAATAATTCAGAGATCCTCCTGTATACCCTTCACACTGTGTGCCCCACCGTTAACATTTTTCAAACAGTTTCACCACCTGGATCTTGGCATAAATGTGATCTGCCAATCTTACCCACATTTCCTAATTTACTTGTACTTATTTGTTCATGTGTATTTACTTCTCATTTTACTTGTATAAGTTTATGTATCCACCACCACAGTCAAGGTACTGAACAGTTACCATCACAACAAAGATTCCTAATGTTGCTCTTTTACAACTAGTTCTGCTTCCCTCCTAGTCTCTTCCCATGCCAGTCATTGTTCCTAACCCCTGGCAACCACTAATCTGTTTTTCATTTCTAGTTTTGTCATTTCAAAAATGTTATATAAATAGAATCATGCAGTATATAACTTTTTAGATTGACCTTTTTCACTCAACATAATTCCCCCAGAGAATCATCTAAGTTGTTACCTGTATCGATAATTTCTTTTTGTTGGGACTGATGTATATGCACCATAGTTTGCTTAGCCATTTACCTTTTGGAGGACAACTGTCATTCTGGTTTTGGCTATTATGAATAAAGCTGCTGTGAACATTTTTATACAGGTTTTTATGTGAACATATATTTCATTTCTCTGGGATAAATACCAAAGAGTGCCCAGAATTTATTTTAAGTTAGAAATGTTTAAAGTATCAGAAATAGTAACTCAGAATAGGTATTAGGGCTAGTCATGACTCTATCATTCTCAGTCTTTGTTTTATCTAAAGTAAAAAAACAATAGCAACTTCTTAATTGAGAAATTATAGTTTGTGGACTTTTTGGCAGGAGATTGGCACCAAAGACCACTTTTTACCAGGCATGTTAGAAACAGAAATGTGAGAATTTATGCATAAATAAAAGATAATCAGAAAATTTATAAATTGGCATAGTATACTATTAACTAACAGGTCTAGCAGATCCATAATCATTGTATTTTTAAATAATCTTTTTCTTTTAACTTTTCTGATTTTAAAAATAACAAGTAATTGTAGAAAATCTGTAATATGTAAATATATAAATAAGAAAATTATAACCCCAATACCAGGAAAACTACTGGTAAGATTTTGGTGTATTTCTTTCTAGTCTTTTTTGTATGCAAACAATACTAATTTAATACAGTTTTTATAAAATTGGGGTTAGGCTAAATACAGTTTGGTAAAAGTTAAAAATTGAACTTTAAAAATGTTTTTATGCTACTTATGTGTCTTCATTTGTAAACTGTTCTTATTTCTCATTTTTATATTGCTGAGATAAAGTTTATGACTGTTTACTAATGTGTAAGTAGAAAATGTTTTTCAGGAAAACATTTTAGTTGGATAATTTTAAAAATGAATGTTTTTTGTTTCATGTCACATTTTAAATTGTTTTTCTTGTTCTTTCAAGATATGCTGTGATAGCGTTTGGATGCGCCAGCTGTCCAAAGTTAACTTGTGGGCGAGAGGGCTGTGGAACGGAGTTTTGCTACCACTGTAAACAGATTTGGCACCCCAACCAGACCTGTGATGCCGCTCGGCAAGAAAGAGCCCAGAGTTTACGTTTGAGAACTATACGTTCTTCATCCATTAGTTACAGTCAAGAATCTGGAGCAGCAGGTATTTGTCTGTCTGATTTCTTTCAGATACAATATTGGATGCATGCAGAACACTACTTTACTTTTTTAAAGAAAGTAGCCAGTTGCTGTTTTCCCTTCTCTTTTCAAAAGTATTTTATGTTTTAAGTGCATTTCTATCCTAGAAGCACTCATTCTTTCCTGTGGTTGAAAGTGGTTCTGAGATTGGAAAGATTTTATTGTCCAAAAAAGAAAAAAAAAAAGGAAAAAAGGAAGTGTCATGATGATTTATATAATAGCCAAAGATGGCCCAAAACTTAATTATAAAGGTATCTTATGTAATAGCTAATATTTCTAATATTGCCTTAAATATATCATCTTTAGATTATTTATAATTGTATAAATACTACAAAGTTACAGATTTAAAACAGTGTTCTTAGAATCCTTTTCATGTAAATATTGTATGAATACATTTTTGTTTACCGATATCTCATCCAATTCCAAGGTTAAAGATAAAAAATTATACCTTAGTGGAAAGGACACTAAAAACTTTAAGTCTTTGTCCAGGAATCTAAAAGTTTCCTGGGAGTCTGTACATACATATTGTATGCATCTTATAAATCTCAAAAATTAAAAAAAGTGAACATCTTAATGATCTTTGAATAAAAATTCAAGAAATTACAGTTTTGTGTTGACAGAATTTTTATTGTTTATTGGAATTTTAATCCTTTTTTAGAAAAACATGTTTTTCTTTGCTGATTGTGACAGGGTAAAACGTGGAAAATAAAGATATTTATTAAGAAAATAATTTAGATATCTTGCCAGCAGTGAATTGAGATAATCGTGTGCTTTATATTACTAAAAATGTCTTATTAAACTTTAACACAGGATATTTAACACTTAATATTTTATACACCATACATGTATTTTCATACTTGTTTGCTGATTGACTTGTTTCTGTTTCCTCTCCTAAAGATTATGTGGAACTCAGAGGTGTTAGTATTAATCTGTAGGTATGGGTCCAGAAGCAATTCAGAGAGGACTTGAATATACCTAAACTGTCCATGAAGACTCAGCAGTAGCTATTGGATGGTTCACTTGAAAATGATACTCTTCTTCTCTTAGTAGAGATGAGTAATTTTTGGTCACAAAACACACAGAGTAAGAGAAAATGGACTCTGGAATCAGACTGCCTAGATTCAAGTCCAGAATTTTCTACTTATTTTTTGTGTAACTCCAAGCAAGTTACATGCCTCATCTTTAAAATGGGGTGCAGTGGCTCATGCCTATAATCCCAGCACTTTGGGAGACCAAGATAAGAGGATTGCCTGAGCTCACGGGTTCAAGACCATCCTGGGCAGCTTGGCGAGACTTCATCTCTACAATAAATTAAAAGATTAGCTGGGCATGATGGCATGTGCCTGTAGTTCCAACTAGTTGGAAGCCTGAGGGGAAACAATTGCTGGAGCTCAGCAGGTTGATGCTGGGGTGGCCATGAGTGTGCCACTGCACTCCAGCCTGGGCGACAAAGTGAGACTCCAACTCAATAAAATAAAATAAAATAAAAATATGTAATTTAGAATTTGTTCCATGTTTCTTTTTAAAAAGTTTTTTTTTAAGTGAGGGTCTTACTCTGTTGCCCAGGTTGAAGTGCAGTGGCACAGTCATGACTGCAGCCTCAACCTGGACCAAGGCAATTATTCTACTTCGGCCTCCTGAGTAGCTGAGGCTATAGGCACACACCACCATGCCTGGCTAATTTTTTGTAGAGGCAGGTTCTCTCCATGTTGCCCAGACTGGTCTAAAACTTATGGGCTCAAGCAGTTTTCCAGCCCCAGCCTCCCCAAAGTGCTAGGATTACAGGTGTGTACCATCATGTCCAGCTGTTTAAAAATCTTGTCTCCTTGTTCTAAAAATTTAAAGAACATGCATTTTACCTACAGTGCTTCAAAAATCAAAGTTCTCAGAACAGTGGCTCTGTGATCATTTCGTATGATATAATCTGTAAAGAATTAAAAATTTGAATTTGGCTTCTCACAGACTTGTGGAATAAGAAAAAAGGAAAGGGAGCTACCATCTAAATGATTTTATTAATTGCTATTATTCCAGATATCTTGGTATTCTTTGTTTCCCGTTATCATGATACATGGAAAAATTGATTGTGCTTTTAATAGATGGTTGGTATAATAATGATTGGTTTGTTATTTCTTTTTTTTTTTTTTTTTTTTTTTTTTTGG